ATACATAAGGGGCTTGTGCTTGAAGGAGACACAGAATAGGGGCTGTTGAAAGAGACCAAAAAATGTCTGGGGGTAAAAGACACACACACACACACACACACACACACACAAGGATTGGTTGAAGAAAAAGACACAGACAATGGGCTGGTGGAGAAAGAGACACAGAAAGGATCTTGTGGTGAAAAAGACACAGAAAAGGTTCTGAGAGGTGGAAAGAGACAAAGAAAAAGGGGTGGGGTGGGGGTGAAGGAGAGACAGAAAATGGATTGGAGATAAAAAGAAAAAGATACAGAAAAGTGGCTGGGGCCACACAGAGGCAGGTGGGGAAAGACACAAACAGGGGCAGAAAGTGCCACATATGGGCTGGGAGGAGAGAAAGAGACACGCATAGATGCTGGGTAGAGAAAGAGCCACACAAAGGAGCTTTAGAGTAAAGGCTTACACCAAGGGGCTGGAGATACAGGGTCACACAAAGGGCCTGAGGGAAAAAGGGACAAATGATGGGGATGAGGGTAAAGGGTTAGACAAAAGTGCTGTGGAGTAAAGGGTTGCACCAAAGGGCTGGGGGGGAGAAAAAGCCACGGAACGTGGCGGGGGGAGGGGTAACAAAGGGGTCTGGAGGGGACACACAAAAGGAGGTGTAAGGCACACAAAGGGGCAAGAGATACACTAAAGGGGTAAAAGATACACTAAAGGGATTAAGACATTCAAAAGATGGGATAAACAAAAAGTGAAACGCAAAAGAGTGGTTATAAGACATGCAGGTGAAGATGCATTTTTTGGAGAAGGCGTGGGTGGCAAAATGCATCTTTGCCTGTGTAGCCAAAATTCCTTGCACTAGCCCTGTCAACAGACACCTGGCATGTAAATCTGATCCTGCCTTGAAGGTACTCGCTGTGCAAAAGACCATCTATCTAGGCTGGCTTTCTGCTAGTTAAGTCAACATGTCATTCACTTTGTAATAACTGCTTTTTTACCTTTTATCGACTTTCATACCTGTTGTAATCATAAGAATGCATGGCTGAGGTATGAAGAATTCGTAAATGGTGTTGATGGAATTATTGCTAATGTGTACACTCCCTTAATAATTAAAGCCCGGAAGCCCAGAGAAGTGACAGTTCCTTATTCCTACAGCAGTAAAGGTAAATATATATATATAATAATCAATAAATACATGAAAATATATAAAACATAAAAAATGAAATAAATTATATATATATATATATATATATATATACACACATGTAATTTTGCTCTAACTCTATTTTAATATTAATATACTTAGAATTAAATTATATATATATATATATATATATATATATATATATATATATATATATATATATATATATATATATATATATGTGTGTGTGTGTGTGTGTGTATCAAGAAAGTAATCCAGATAGCACTCCCAGGACTTGTAAAAAATAAAAATAGACTTTTATTGCTTTATAGTAAAAGTCAATGTTTCGGTTTTATATATATATATATATATATAAATTCTACATGTATATTTATGTAATATTTTTACATAATTAAATAATTTTATTAATTACAATTCTAAGGACCTGCCTGATAACCCAGGCAGAAAGCCCAGAGAATTTAATTTGCAAGCCCTATATTTAACCCTGTAACTTGCTAAGACACCATAAAACCTGTACATGGGGGATACTGTTGTACTCGGAAGACTTTGCTGAACACAAATATGTGTATTTTATTGCAGTAAATGCTAACAGTATTGTGACATTCACAGTTAAAATGCCATGCAGAACTAAAAGAAATAACATTTCTCAATTTCTCACATTATTTTAGATTTTATTCATCTTACATTATGCTTAATATTTGATGTGAAACGAAAGCCCTGTTTCTTTTGAGCAAAATGATATATAATAAGTGTGGGTGCACTTATTATGAAAGAGGTAAATTATGGTTGAACAGATACATAGTCAAATATGCCTAGTCCACTTCTCAATGACTAGACAACCCAGTTCCCTGCTCCCAACATCATTAAGGCAAGACATTTCCCAATCCCACACAATGATGCCAAGAATATTAATACTGCCAAAATCAACCCCAAAATGTATTCTGCTAGAAAAAGCACAATATATTAAAATTAAAAGGATAATTTATATTTCATTTTTTTTTACATTAATCAATTCTTCTCTGCAGTTTTTTTTATTATTAATTTGAGAGTATTACAGTTTTAAATAAGTCAAGTTCATTATTAAATTCAAAGATTTTTCACAAATTACATTATTGCTTGTAAATCATTTTTCTGTAGTAAATATTTTTTCATCTGGTGCATTAAATTATGTTAATTTATTGAATTAAAGAACCATTAAAATCATAATGTAACTTGAAATAAGTAAGAAATCCTGTTACCGTTTTTAGATAGCAACTAGTTGGATGAACCAGCCAAAGTTGCTTGGCACCTTCCTTATCACAAACACTAGAATACACACAATGAAGAAATTGATAATGTTGGGGAAGATGATAGCAGGATAATAACAGTCAGTAAGGTGTACAAGCAAGCCACCACATTCTTTTTCAAGACTAGATTATTTTTTACAGAGTTAATGCATAGTCATTGGTCACAGTTTAAGGGTTTTTTTGTTTTTGTTTTTTTAAGGGCGATGATCACACTTTTTTAGTTAGTGAAAGATATATGATTAATAAACTATGCCCATATACTTGTGAATGCTCATTAAATAAAAGTAATTTTAAAATATGGTTATGCGAGACTTTGTGTGTATGCGTATTTATTTCAAAAGAATCAGACAAGGCTGTCTAATAGAGAATTGTAAGGAATTCAATGTGAATTCAAAGTAAATTAAAAATTTTATTTAGACATGGAGGCTCCTATTATGCTGCACTCTTTCTTTATTTCCCCCAGCAGCAAAGAAAACTTTAACAATGAAATTAACACAGAAAACAGTCAATAACACATATCTTCCATGGCAACAGCCAATCAGGTTCCAGCATAATAGGCGGTATTCCCTGAACAATTTCCTCTTTCTTTGCTGCTCCCTCAGTTAAGTACACTGATCCTATAGTTATTAACTGTAAGATTCTTACCTTACATATTCATATCTATAGTTTAATTTAATTTCATTAATTTAATTTGAGTTAATTCGATTTAATTTTCTTAATTTACTGTTCTTAATTTTTCTTTACTTAAATTGTCTATTTGTAATATTTATGCATTTATAGTTTGACAATGTTATTACTTGTTTTAGTCATTATTAGTACTTACATCTGTATTTAATTCCCTCCCGGCCCCCTATAATTCTTTTGTGTGGCACCGGGAGGAGAATTTCACTGTCCTTCATTTTCTTTCTCTGTCTCGCGGCGCTTTCGCGCCATTTCCCCCCCCCCCTTTCATTTGTAACGGTTTTTATCTGCTCATCTATTCGAGCAGTACTGCCGTTCGTCAGTTCTGCCGTTTGTCAGTTTTTACCATTCGTTGGTTTCTATACATTGTTATGCGGCTCGCGTTCGTGTACTTTTACCATTCATGGTTTTTTTAGATGAACTGTGCATTCATGCGCATAGTTCACCTCTTTTACCGTTAGTTTCTTTTGCCGTTCGTGCATTTAACAAGCATGTATTGCATTTTCATACGAACGGTCAGTTTGTGGATTTTGCCATTCGGCAAAATTTTGGGCGGTTTCTCTGATAACCTTGCCCCTTCCTGTTTCACCTTGTTGGGGTTTAGTGTTTTGTCGATCGGATGTCTCTCTCTGTCTCTCTCTGTGCCTTATCTTTTAACTAAGTGATTTGTATTTCTTTTACAGTGCTGTTCTCTCTCTCTGGGTTAATAAACCCTATAGCTAGGTTATTCTAATATAATCTTTGACTATTATATTTAATTCATTATGCAGTCTGACAAGGATCAAAATTTGGCCTCTGGGTCACAAGTGACCCCTCAGACTCCCCGTGTTAACCCGGGAGAAGGGACTATGTCCCCTGATTTTTCCGCTCCTGCGGACATACGGGCTCCCTTCGATGCCTCAGTTTCTCGGTTCATTACGCAGGCTATGGTCTCTGCTATGGGCGCTGTGTCGACATCTCTGTCGCAGAGTATTACCCAGGCCCTTTTACAAGCCCAACATTCTGCTCAGCAGACAGGTATGTCAACTGCACCTAGTATGACACCGGTCTCTCAAGGCCTTAAGGCTACGGCAAAGACCAAACATTCCTCCAAAACTGCTTTGACTGACATTCTCACTACTGTCTCAGATGGCGTGCAACCACCACCACACAATAGAGCCACTAGCTAGATTGTGGAAGCAGGCGAGAGCCCAGCTGGATTCGTCCTCACATTCAGGAGGAAAGAGATGAGCCCGATAAGGATAAGGATGTTTTGGATGGTCAGCCCGAATCAGACACCGACGGTGCAGTTGGAGAGGATTCCGCCTTTTCCTTCAGCACTTTCCCTGTGACAATGTCAGGGGTCCAGGTAAGTCTGTCGGGGTCTTGTGACGACTCTATTATTCTAGATCCTTGGGGTGTACTCCTTTTTGACCCAGATGAGCTTAGACACCCGTGCTCAGCTGAATGGTGTCCTTCTGACCATGTGGCAAAATATATCGCCTCCAGAGTGTGCAAGCCCTTAGACAAGGCTACCAGGAACAAATTGAGGGCAGAATGCCCCCGTCCCACGGTCCCAGATGACGCGTGCAAAACACCCATTGTGGACCCCAAAATTGCCCAATTCATAGGGAAAACTGGGTAGAAACCTAGGAAAGGTCTCGATTTTGCCCTAATTGCCAAGACAAGGCATTGGACATCTTGGGCCCTGCGGCAAAAAATATTTAAGGCGGTCGAAGACGACTGGGAGCTTGATAGGGATGCCATCCATTGATGGATCCAAAGGATGTGAATTTGGCGCTGGCTCCAGAGCGCCGCAAATCTATTTTGCTCAAAATCGAGCCAAAGCTAGTCAATCTAGCAATTAATGAGCCAGGTGCCTCAGGCTAAAGGGCTATTACTTGGTGACTCTTTTGTCAAGGAGTTAGGGTCATTTGTACACACTTTCACGGCTTTAGATAAAGCTCAGCATAATATGCGCAAGATCTTTCACCAAAAGATTTTTGCCGGGCCTGGAAGAGGTAGGAGCCGTCTGTCTGGCCGTATTCAGAGAGGTTCGTACAGGCAGAACCAAGGTTCCTATTTGGGACGAGCTGGCTTTCAAGAACAAAGGGCCGCACCAGCTTTCTTTCCCCAAAGAGGCAGACCTGGGGCATCCGAGGAGCTCCTTCTGGACGACGACCTTATGGTAAGTGTTTACTCTTCCCTTTCTTCCTTTCAGGTTGTGAGGGGCTGTCTCAGACATTTTTCCCATATGTAGTCGCATCTGATGTCAGATGCTTGGGTCCTGCAAGCTGTAACAGGTTATTACATAGATTTTGTGTCACGCCCGACCCAACTCTCCCCGCCCAGAGATATATATTTTTTTCCCAACATGATGCTATACTTTTATCCAAGGAAATTCATGAATTGATGCACAAACAAGCCATCACCTGGGTACGTCAGCACTCTCTTCCTGGTACCCAAGAAAGGCAGAGAAAACAGTCACAAATTTGAAACAATTGAACGCTTACATGTCCTATCACCATTTCAAAATGGAAGGCATACAGTGCCTGTGCGATCTTCTACAACCCGAAGACTGGATGGCCAAATTAGATTTACAAGACGCTTATCTCATGATCCCTATATCGGAAAAACATCAAAATTTTCTCCAAATCACGTGGCAAGGAAGGAAATCAAGGTTCACATGCCTCCCGTTTGGACTGTCATCAGCCCCGTGGTGTTTCACAAAAGTTATGACACCCGTGATTGCTCTGCTTCGAAGTCGAGGTGTTCGGCTTATCATGTACCTAGACGATATCCTCCTTCTAGCCCAGTCTACCGACCTTCTCCACACACATCTCACATGGACTCTGACGCTATTGCAAAACCTGGGTTTCCTTATAAATTGGGAAAAATCTATTTTGACACCTGCTCAAAATATCAAATTCCGAGGACTACTGATCGACTCAACCTCACAAACGTTACATCTCCCAGCATCGAAATTGCTGAACATCAAAAAAGAAACCAACTTTCCCTCAAACATGTGGCATGAGTCTTCGGACTCCTGGTAGCTTCCATCCAGGCCATATTCCCAGGCCCACTCCATTACTGGGCTCTCCAATGGCTACAAGCCTCTCATCTCAGAGGCGGAGCATCATACGAGGATATGTTAGACAAAGAGGCGAAAGATGAACTTCACTGGTGTCTCCTCCACATGGAAGCGTGGAATGGATGCGCTATCTTCGGAACAACCCCAGATCTGGTCATAGAATCGGATGCAAACTTACATGGCTGGGGTGCGCGTTGTGGCAGATGGTCGGAACTCGAAACTACACTGCACATCAATTGCTTGGAGCTTCTAGCCGGGTTCTTTTCAGTATGCAGCCTATTCCTCGACTCACTGTCAATGCACAATTCTATTGAAGATGGACAACGTATCAGCAGTCAGATACATCAACCTCCTGGGAGGCACGAAATCCAGTGCTGGCAAACATGGCACACGATTTCTGGAAATTTTGCCTTATGCACAATATCTCGGTGACAGTGGAATATATTCTTGGACTATCCAACACCACAGCGGATTGGTACTCCAGACACCTCAAGGACTTCAGTGATTGGTGTCTGGACCCCTTGACATTCAGGAACATCACGGACACCTGGGGACCTCTGGAAATAGACCTCTTTGCCTCTCTTTTGAACGCTCAACTCCCTTGATATTTCAGTTGGCGACTAGACCCTTTGGCTCTAACAACGAATGCCTTACTTCAAGATTGGGCCACAGAGACGAATTACGCATTCCCTCCTTTTGCACTGATTCTCCGTTGCCTTCTACATCTGCATTGCCAAAAGGGCATGTTGGTAATTGTGACTCCCCTATGGCTGTCACAACCATGGTTCCCCCATCTGTTGGAAATGGCGATAGATTTTCCCTGTCTTCTCACATCGTACGATTCTCTCCTTCAGGATCCGGATGGACAATCTCACCCTTTAATCCTCCAAGGCCTTCTCCGATTTATGGCATGGCTGGTTTCAGGAGACCTTGGTCAATCGAAGGTGTTCCGCAATCAACTCTCAGACTTCTCAAGAATGCATGGGCACCCGGAGCGAGACAAGCTTATAAATCTGCTTGGAATGCATGGAATGGCTGGTGCTTGGGAAGAAACCTGGATCCCTTATCGGTACCTTTGACAGCCATCTTACAATTTTTGACCTACCTTTTTGAAGCAGGAAAAGCGTACCGCACCGTTAACCTCTACTGCTCGGCGCTTTCCGCTGGACATCAAGATATCGATGGTACCCCCATCGGACGACATCCTTTTGTCTGTCGCTTACTACTCGGAGTACGATTTTCTCGTCCTCCTCTCCCTCGTTACTCTACACTCTGGGATGTTTCTCTTGTCCTCCATTTTCTAATGTCATGGCCGGATAATACTTCATTATCATTTAAACAACTGTCAGCAAAACTGGTCATGCTTTTTTGCCTCATTTCATGCAAAAGAGTCTCGGATGTACGAGCTTTGGACACAGACGCTTGATCCTTTACACCGGAAGGCATTCTCTTCAATATCTCTAGAAGGACCAAAACGTCTAAGTCCATACTATACCCGATGTTTCCACAGAAGCCTCTCTTGTGCCCAGTGGCATGCCTACAGAAATACAAACTCTGTACGGCTCTGCTCTGGAACCCTATGAGACCTCAGTTATTTATCTCTGTCCGCAAACCACATCTTCCAGTATCCTCTCCTTCCCTGGCCAGATAGGTGAAATGGATTATGACATTGCCAGGCATTGACACTTCCGTGTTCTCTCCACATTCTGTTCGAGGAGCAATGGCCTCTAAAGACTCTGCGGTAGGATGTCAACTAGAAGATATTTTACGAGCTGCCTATTGTTCTTCGGAATCCACTTTTCGTGATTTTTCTTCAAATCGATCGAACACTTTGCTGGAACAGTTATATTACAGCTTTAAACCAGCATAATAGGAGCCTCCGTGTCTTAATAAAATTACCAGATTTTACTATTTACATGACGTAAAGTCATGATTTTATTAATAACACGGAGGCGAATATTATCCCTCCTACCCTTCCCTGGATGGTGGTTCACCTGGGTAAGTTATTTACGGTAAGTTTCTTTGGTTCAGATTTGCTCACTGGTAAGATGATTTGGTTAAATCCTTCATGTTTGTATCCACCTCATACATGTTGACTCAATACTAGTTACATCAGATATTACCTAGTCACGTATAATGCGTTATCCTGTCGCTTCCAACTCAAGAACATAGTGCGTATCCGCCCATATCTAAGGTACTGGTTCATCCTGTTGTTCTCTCTCGCCTTGACTATTGCAATCCCCTTCTCACCGGTCTTACATGTTCCCAGCTTGCACCGCTGCAATCTATAATGAATATTCCACGCCTCCACGCTCTGTCAGTCCCTCTATTGGCTTCCAGTTAGATATAGGGCCAAATTCAAAATTCTGGAGCTTGCTTACAAATCCCTACATAATGCTGCTCCAACATACCTATCCTCCCTCATACACAAGTATGTCCCGTCGAGACCCCTGTGCTCAACCCAAGACCTACGCCTATCCTCTGCCCAGATCCCCACCTCTGATGCTCGCCTTCAAGACTTCTCCAGGGCTGCACCTATTCTGTGGAACTCCCTTCCCTCCTCAATCAGACTTTCACCTGGCCTCCACTCCTTCAAAAAATCTTTGAAAACTCACTTCTTCATTAAAGCGTATCAATTAAACTGTCAGCAAGTTTCTTATCCCCCACCCCATGACTCCTTTCCTGCAACTGTCAAAAATGACCTACCAAGCACTCAATAAACCCTTCTCTAACAAACTATTTATTTATTCACCTACTTTAACCCTTTGTATCACTATACCCCACTACCTCTAGCATGTAAGCTCATCGAGCAGGGCCCTCAACCCCCTCTGTTCCTGTACGTCCAGTGGTCTGATCTCAATTATGTGTCTGTTAGTCCACCCATTGTATAGTGCTACAGAATTTGTTGGCGCTATATAAATAATAAAATAATAATAATAATTTATGCATAAATCCAGTTTTATACTTGGATATTACCATATTCTACTCTCTCTTACAGCTTGGATTGGAAGTTCATTCACTGATGGCATTGTTCCCTTATTGGAATTCCTGTTTCGTTTGGTGCAAGTACAAGTTCGGGATCGCAAGAAAGAGAAAATTGTTCAGGGAATACCACCTATTATGCTGAAGAGTGGAACCTGATTGGCTGTTCGTTGCCATGAAAAACATGTGTTACTGACTGTTTCCTGTGTTTATTTCATTGTTAAAGTTTTCTTTGCTGCTGAGGGAAATAAAGAAAGAGTGCGACATAATACTCGCCTCCGTGTCGTTAATAAAATCATGATTTTACGTCATGTAAATAGTAAAATCTGGTCATTTAAGGTCATAATATCTGAATTGGAAACATTCTCAGCCATGCTTCTAGGTCAGCTACTATGGTCTAAAATTTGATTTAAATAATGGTAAATAATAATTATCAATTTATTAATGATTGATGAAATTGATAAATACTAAAATTGTTGAATGTTGAATTCAAAATTGATTGATATCCTAAGCTAACTCATCTGTAAGTATGAACTAATTGGTGTGTCTTTATCAATAAGAAATTGGGATCATGACAAATACAAGAAATTTTGGTGAAGAATGGACAGAAATAGCAAGCCGACTAGAGCTTTGACAATTCTAGGACGTCATGTAGCTGAAGGTACAGAGCTCTGAATCACAATACAGGAGATGCCCTATACACAAGAAAACAATGTCAATAGCTCAGTTGAATAACTTTTCCAAATCAGTTATTTGTATTACATTGTGCAATTGAGTTTTCAATTTACTGATTTTTCTTTTGTTTACTGAACAAATCATAGGTATTTCTTTTTGTGGGATCCACAGGTGAAGTAGTTCTGTTTTATGCGGTATAACTCAGCATACGCACTGGATATTGGTGCCCCTATTATTTAAGCTATGTTTTTTTCCATAGCAATCATGGCACTCACTGCACTAGATACGTTTTCATCATGGAAGGAATAAAGAAATAATCAAATCTCACTCATGCACCATTTAGGGTTGGTTTGTGCACTTCAGGAAATGATTTCTCTTTTAACATAATCAAGCTTTGCATTCTATTTTCCATTATCAGCCATAGAAAAGTGGTCAGGCAGTTATTTGCATGCAAGACATTTTAATTTGTAAGATTTTACCACATTTCAATTTGACCATTTCAGAATTATCGTCCTGTCCGGACCTACTCTATGGAGGCTCATATTGGTCAATCAGACTCAAGCTGCATTTAAAGTTGGGTGGTACTTTGTTAAATTGCTTGGTTTTATTCCCCACATGCAGCTTGCATGGTGAAATCCATCTACACTATGTATACCCCCTCTCACTGGTTAAAGAGTCTTTATACCCCACTCTATAATGTGGCTTTTGGAAGGAGAGGGTGCGGAAATGGTGCTATGACCCTTCTCACTACCAGTACAGCTCAGTTGAAAATGGCTACCAGACATCTGTGGTATTCTTTATTACATGTGTGTGTGAATTAGAGGATCCACTGGAAAATATGGCAGTGGGAGGATGAACTGGAGAAATAAACTAGCAATCATCTGTGTGAGTACATTTTAGATCATTGACAGGGGGTATTGATTGGGGATGCAGAGGGACTGGAAACAAAATGGGGAGTTAATAGAAGGATCATATAACTAGAAGGAGGTAGCAGTAATAGAAGTGAAATATGAATGATGAGTAAAATAAAATTTATTGCATTATTGAAATGAGACTGTGCTTCAATAAGTGGACATGGTATCAGAAGGCAAGGGATTTTGACAGCACATGTTCCTTGGACCTGGGCAGAACAGTGAGGAAGATTCATAAATATGTGATGATCTAAAAAGTTGTAAAAGTAAAGTAATCCCCAGTGGAAAGTGCCTTCAGGTTCTGTTGCTTTTCAAGGCAATTGACCCACCTGTATAGCTCTGAAACACTTTGTAGCTCACAACACTTTGATAAATATCAGATGACAAATCAGAACTAAATAATATGATAAACTTAACATCAGTATATCAATGTATTAATCTGTCAAACCTGTTTGGCTTTTTTCTCTGGGTGTGATTACACATATCTATGTTAGCTGCCTCTGTATTCAACCCAGTTTGCCCAGTAAACATCATTATGATCCACTTTAATTATGGATAATTATCAGAGATATACACCTAGAAGAAAAAGGCTAATGTGGGTCACGCTTGGTAACAAGTCTGTGTTTCCTCAAATAGTCACTTGTTTAGATTGGTGTGTCATCCAAACAGAGAAAAATGTCATGGAAACGTGTATTAGATTTATAATGAAGTAAAACTTAAGCTATCCCTTAAACTTTAACGGGACACTATAGTCAGCAAAACAACTTTAGCTTAATTAAGCAGTTTTGGTGTATAGAATATACCCCTGTAGCCTCACTGCTTAATTCTCTGCCATTTAGGAGTTAAATTACTTTGTTTATGAACCCTCCCTGCATGTGACTTCCACATGTTTCCTAAACACTTCCTGTAAAGAGTCATCTAAAGTTTATCCTTTCTTTATTGCAAGTTCTGTTTAATTTAGATTTTCTTATCCCCTGCAATGTTAAAGGACCACTATAGTGCCAGGAAAACAAACCTCAGGGTCCCACTCCCACCAGGCTGAAGGAGGCTAAACACTCACCTTTCTCCAGCGCCGGGCTCCCTCGGCGCTGGGGACTCTCCTCCCTCTTCGGCAAGAGCCGCGCGCATTCAACCAGTCCATAGGAAAGCATTTTTAATGCTTTCCTATGGACGCTGGCGTCTTCTCACTGTGAAAATCACAATGAGAAGCGCGGAAGCGCCTCTAGCGGTTGTCAGTGAGACAGCCACTAGAAGTTGGATTAACCCATTTGTAAACATAGCAGTTTCTCTGAAACTGCTATGTTTACAGCAGGCAGGGTTAATCCTAGATGGACCTTGCACCCAGACCACTTCATTAAGCTGAAGTGGTCTGGGTGCCTATAGTGGTCCTTTAATAGCTTGCTAGACCCTGCAAGAGCCTCTTGTATGTGAATAAAGTTCAATTTACAGAGCAAGAGATAACATTGTTTAAGGTAAATTACATCTGTTTGAAAGTGAAACCAGTTTTTTTTTTTAATGCAGGCTCTGTCAGTCATAGCCAGGGGAGGTGTGGCAAGGGATGCATAAACAGAAATAAAGTGATTTAACTCCTAAATGACAGTGAATTGAGCAGTAAAACCAGAGAAGCATGATATTAACACTAAAACTACTTCATTAAGCTAAAGTTGTTTAGGTGACTATAGTGTTCCTTTAACCCCTTAAGGACACATGACATGTGTGACATGTCATGATTCCCTTTTATTCCAGAAGCTTGGTCCTTAAAGGGTTAATGTTCATCAACATGATATCATATACTCCATTGGTTTCCAGTTTGCATTTTTCTTACTAAGTTGTTGAGTTATTACATATACATAAACATATTTTCACCTGTTTTATGACTGTCAGGAGTCACTTTTGTTTTCGGCTGCATAAAAATAGAGATAGGTTCTCAATACCATACAGATATGGGACCAAACTAAAATGAAATATTCCCTAAGCTCCCCTTTATCCCCCATGACGCCAGTACTCAGAAACAGGGCTTTCCCACCGGGGCTGAGGGCCCCGGACTATGGAGGGATAGAGGCCACAGAGTTACAGAGGTATGTCCACCTATTTGTCAACCAAGACATAGTCACGTATGCACACCTGAGCACTAACGCCACTCTCAGAACACAAGACTACTTCAGGTACTTACAAATCCGAGACTTTGCACAACGAGCTGAAGTCAAGAAAGCAACCTTGACACCAATTACTTTCTTTGAAAAACTATGCAATACCAAAACCAAACAAACCAAACTTATTACGCTACTGTACGATCACCTAAATACAGCTACTGACAAAGAGGGCGCACTACGATACACAGACCAATGGGAGGCCGACCTGGGGGAGGTTTCGGAGAGAACGGAGTGGCTGGACATCTGGGAAGCATGCACCAAAACCACAATATGCATAACGATCCAGGAGCAATCATATAAAACATTATTCAGATGGTACATGACCCCGGTCAAACAGAAACATATGAAACTGAGCCCTACAG